TAGCATTTTTTCATACCTTCCTAAAACTTTTGCACAGTACTGTATATTATATACAATTTAAATTTATTAGGAGTTGGAATTGGTACATTTTTACTGATCCTGACTCTGACTCCAGTAACCAAAGAATTGCTTCTGACTCTGACTCCACAGCCCTGTTTCCTGTTGCTGCGGATTGTCATACATAAAAATCTCCATACACTATTCTTTGTATAAAAGGGAAAAACTTATGTTTTTTTTGTTCCAAAAGGAGCAAAGATGATTTTTATGATGTTACCTGTAACTTCTATTTTCCCCCCAATATTTGAAATTGTTATTTTTTTCTCTGTAGTTTTAAGAGAGAAACAAAGTTTTCCATCCCAGATTTCTTTTGTTTCTTTCTGGAAATTCAAATCTCTAGTCTAACTTTTATGCTTTGTCAGGTGGTACTGGGATGGAGTTTGGGTTCAAGAATCATAAACCCAGAGCCCCTGAATGCAAATCAAACTACTTATGAGAATATCAGAATAAGATATTAAGTGTGGTAAAAGTGGTGGCCATCTGTAAAACTGTTGGATATATCTTTGGTAAATTGCTGGTAACCTTGATTTCTGTCCTGTTGGTTGCAGTGTTTATCTTTGCTTTATTAGGATGGTTGAATTTGTATACATTCTGCATGTATACTTTGTGAGCAACATGCCTAAACAATTTCCCTATGAACAAGAATTTTTTCTATTTCATAGTGCTACTAATAATAGTGCTAATTAACCCTTTTGAAATGAAAGGCTACTTTAAGAAAAGCTATATCAGTAGCTACAAAAATAGAGAAAGTAGGTTGACTGCATTTTTACAGTATTGTGTAATTCATTGAATTGCAATATTCTGGGCAAAATGATTCATAATGGAGTGTTGGGATTTTTAAAAATACATGGAAAATTACAAATTGACCTAAATTTGTTTTAATTCTCAGATATATGGAGGATGCTTTTCTGAAGATAAATGCTGGTACAGATGTAAAGTACTCAAGGTTATCAATGATGAAAAGGCAAGGATCATTTTTCGATTGAATAGCTGCTCAGCTTGATTTCTTTAATAATTTTGGAAATATATAAATGGGTTGACAAGAAAAATGGAGATTTGCAAGTTGCAGTGCGTTTAAGTTTGTATCCTACTTGATAATCCTATTCACACTAATGGGTTCAAATTTCTTTTGCCTTCTTCTGGTGCTGCACTTTAAAAACTGATAAGTTGGATTTAAATATGGGGAATGCAAACTGTTTGTCTCAACACTTAAGTGTATAATTAAGGAGAACTACAGGCAGTTCTGTAGAAGTTATGATGGTGCTGAAAAATGGATATATGACGCCCCAAAGTTACGACCGTTGGAGTGCCCTGCAGTCACGTGATCAAAATTCAGGCACTTGGCAGCCCACCCACATTTACGAACGCAGGGACACTTCAACCCCCCCTTCCTGCCTATCTGCCCCCCTTTTGGCCACCCTGCACCCTGCGTCACAGGACAGCAAGCAGCCCCAGAACTCTGCGGCTCGGGCTTCTTGGCGTGCCACGGATCTGGGTCTGCAAGAAGCTCCTGAGCTGCAGCACGAAGCCTCAGCCATCCCTGGAAGCCTCAGCCACCCCAACCCACCCCAGCAAGCATTTGTTTATGCAGCTTCCTTCTCTTCCAGCTCCCCACACCAATCTTTCACCTTTTGCGCCCAGCTGCCGCAGCCAAAGAAATGCCTCGCTGCCTTTACTGTCTCCTTTTTGGATCTGCAACCGCCATGCTACCCCGGGCGAATGCTTTCTACACATGGCTGCCCAGCCCAGCAGGGCGGTTCAAATAAAAATGCAAGCGAATGGGGAAGATTGGAAGTGGTTTTGACCAATGGGAAAGCACCAGGGGTTGGCTCAGCTTCTCTGGTACTTCCCCATTGGGGAAATGCCAGTGCTTTCCCATTGGGCAAAACTGCTTCCTGCTTCCCCATTGGCTGGCATTCTTATTTGTGCTGTGCTGCTGGCAATAATAATAATAATAATGATAATCACTACCTTGACATGGTTGTGGGGTTTGCGTGCTCCGAGGAGGATGAGAGCTAAGAGGTTCAACCATACTGGACAGGTCTCATCAGAGGGGCCAGACAAAGAGTGTCTCTCCCATAAACAATATAGCAGATCATTATTTCTTTGTATATTTGTGACAGGTAAACAACTTTTCTTCTAGTAGTTCTGCAGTTGCTGGCCCTGGTTGCTCAGCCAGCAGTCCTGAGTCCTGTAGTCCCCATGTCACAGATATCCAGGAACTAGAACACCTAGCGCAGTCCTTGTTGACCGGGGCGATAACCAATCCGGTATGGGTTTCTGTAAATTACATCTG